CAACAGAACGAGTGTATATGCGTCTTCATATATTCAAAAATGCTTTAGTTCGCTCTGTGTTATACAGGTCTAATGTATACATATGAAGAAAGAAAAAAAACACTCATTGGTAATGTTATCTTTACGTTTACATTGTTATAGTGTCTGTAATTGTGCAATATCAATCTCTAGTCAAGATATATTGGTGTTCTACGGAATTTGTTTTGTGGAATTATATTCTACAGAGACAAATCTTGTATTCACTGTGTATCTTCGGGAGGTACGATATTGCCAATTTACATAATATTAGCTGTCATTCTAATATGAAAAATTTTATAATTTAATAAGTCGTTCATGATTCTATCTTTAGTAATATGAAGCAACATATGAGCGCATGTTCGATACCCAATATGGGAGGAAGTTGTTTTCGACTATGTCATTATAGATAAAAGCGACAGAACGAGCATATATGCGTCTTCATATATTCAAAAATACTTTAGTTCGCTCTGTATTATACAGATCTAATGTATACATATGAAGAAAGAAAAAAAACACTCATTGGTAATGTTATCTTTACGTTTACATTGTTATAGTGTCTGTAATTGTGCAATATCAATCTCTAGTCAAGATATATTGGTGTTCTACGGGATTTGTTTTGTGGAATTATATTCTACAGAGACAGATCTTGTATTCACTGTGTGTCTTCGGGAGGTATGATATTGTCAATTTACATAATATTAGCTGCCATTCTAATATGAAAAATTTTATTACTCTTTTATAGCCTGATCCCTTATAGTGTTCCCCCTTATAGCCTGGCCCCCCTGTTGCCTTAACTTCTTATTGCCTTACTGCCAAATACCCTTATCCCTTTATAGCCTTACCCCGTTACAGCTTTCCCCTTGTAGCCTTATTCCCTTATAGTCGTACCCCCCCCCCCCACCCCTTATCACCGCGCCCCAAGGGGGAAACAGCAAATTGTGAGTTTGTGATTTAAAATGAGTTTATGTGAGTTTTGTGATTTAAAACGAGTTTGTCTGAGTTTTATGATTTAAAATGAGTTTATCTGAGTTTAATGATTTAAGATGAGTTTATGTGAGTTTTCTGATTTAAAATGAGTTTTTGTGATTTAGAATGAGTTTAAAGCTAATTTACATCAGCTTTAAACTCATTTTAAATCAGAAAACTCACATAAACTCATTTTAAATCATTAAACTCAGATAAACTCATCTTAAATCATAAAACTCAGATAAGCTCATTTTAAATCACAAAACTCGCATAAACTCATCTTAAATCACAAAACTCATTTTAACTCATTTTAAATCATAAACTTACAGCTGGCTGTTTTCTGATTTATGGCGAGTTATAAATGACTTAAAGTGATTTTTGTGATTTAAAATGAGTTAAAGTGAGTTTTGTGATTTAAAATGAGTTTACTTGATTTTTGTGATTTCAAATGAGTTTCAGCTGATCTAACTCACGCTGTATCCCCCTTGCCTCGCCCTTATAGCCTTCTCCCCTATAGCGTCACCCCTTACAGCCTGACCCCTTGTCGCCTTACCCTTCTTATAGCCTGACTCCCTTATAGCCATATCCCTTTATCCCTTATACCCTTATAGCCCTTTCTCCTTATCCTCTATATCATTATACCCTTAAGGCTTATCCAGTTATAGCCCTACCGCTCTATAGTCTTATATCTTTTTAGCTTTACCCTGTTATAGCCTTACCCTCCTATAGCTTTATCATCCCCCATATAGTCAACACCTCTATAGCCTTACCCCTTATAGCGTTACCCGCCTATATTCTTATTCGACCTTTAACCTTTGACCTGGCACAGACAGACACTGAATATTATATGTATAGAAGATTCTCTTACTGCCTGCAGGGCCTATAGGTACTCCCATATAATAGCTCTTGAGGGCCTATGGGTATCCTCATAATATAAGCCTTGAGGATCTATAAGTATCCCATAGGGCAGCCTTCGAGGACCTATGGCTATCCCCATAGGAGAGCCCTTGAGGACCTATGAGTACCCCTAGGACAGCCCTTGAGCACCTATGGCTATCCCCATAGGATAGCTCTTGCGGACCTATGAGTACTTCCATAGGATGGCCCTCGAGGACCTATGGGTACCCCAATATAGTACCATTGGCGCCATCCCCTTATAGCCTTATTTGACCTTTGACCCGGCACAGAGAAACACACACATGAACATTATATATATATCTATATAGATGTAGAAAAGTATTTTAAGAACAGACATAAGAATATGATTCGGTAGCTCATAAGATTATGGTAACGAAATATTATTTAGACTTTCTTGTTACTAATTAACTTACTAATTTTATTGAAATATTCTTCTGTTGTATAAGAATCTTTTACATAATTTTCTAAACTATTTTCCAAAAAAAAGTGCCGGTGAAATGGACTAATCACGTTGCTCATGAAACGGAAAGATACGTTTGTTTTTTATTTGTATTACAAGATACTAGTATGACAGTAAGAACTTGATTTATGATGTAAGAACAATTCACTTGAAAATCCCCAGAGTAAAGGACATCATATAACCTCGGAATCCGGTCTCGGTCCCGTTAAAATTTGTTTTGGTTCCCGACTCGACACCGATAAAATGTAAATTTTTGATTTGAGTCCCGGTCCTCGACGTCATGAACGTGATTGGGACTGGTTCCACACATCTCTACTCAAGTTACTTGAAAATCAAGTCAAGTCCAAACCCAAATCTCAGCCCAAATTCTATATACCAAATCCAAATCCAAATCCTAAGCACTAAAGCCAAACTCAAGTCTTCCATACTAAACCCAAATCTATAACAAATCCAAACGATTTCATATCGAATTTGAATGCTCTGTACTTATTTCACCCTTGTGAGTCTTTATCGTATAGAGCCAAGTTGGATTTGGGTAATTTAAGGCCAAATCCAAATCCAGATGAAAACCAACTCTTGGTATACCAAATCCCAAGGCTTTGGATTTGTTGCACCCCTAAGCGTGTATGAAATGAATGAAATTTCCAATGTTAGAAAGGAAGATATTTATGATATACCAAGAAAAAGGTTCGTCAGTAAGATTATTTGGGACTAGTTATGTAACAGCTTACCGGATGGCATCAATATATTAGCTGTAGCACTTAATGTAAAACAAGTACCCAGTTTTGTGGGGCACTCAAACAAGAATCCCCTGATAGTATAATAGTTGAGATCTTGGCGATTATGAAAGATAGAACTATAGTGATTTCAATTCAAATACTGAATATAGATGCGTCACAGCTCAATAAGAAACGAGTACAAAACTTATTTACTAGTCTCAACACTAGACGTGTGTTTTCTTGTTTTATAGTAATAATAACCGTTGTGTATTTTCTGTTCTAGATAAAATATTGGAATGGTTGATAGTCTCGTGTCGCTCTGAACTTTGTGATTTTTCGAATTGTTTCACTAGTCTTTAAAGGACAAATCAAATATAAATCAGCTTACACTATAGAAAAGTACTCGACGTTGCATACATTTTTACAGGAGAAAGTCAACAATGAGCATTTCCGTAATTGAAGAACATAGTACTGCGACCAAAACTGATAGATCAGATATCAGCCGTGAACAAGTGAAAACATTATTTGATATCTTTGTTCATGCATTTCAACAAACCGATAATCCTGATGTGAAATATACGTTAATAGAACAAATTATTTCCTCATTAGATATTACATCATATGGATATAAAAATCTTGCAGAGTCTGAACTGATCGCACACGAGCTTTTTGTCATTTTACGTGACTATGTAATTATCGATCAACTTCGTCAAAAACCAACAGAAGGCATCAGTTCACAGAAGGTCTTACTGAATATTTCATTATTATTCATGAATCTATGCAAGAATATCAACGAAACTAATATTATTGTATTCAAACACTTATTTTTGCATAAACCATTAATCGACGAACTTGCAAATTGTCTGTGTGAGATAAGTAACCATGGCAAATACTTGAATGATCCTTTACGTCTCCGTTCGATTAGCTCCTTATTAATGGCATTGAAGAGAATTCGAAAATACAATCTCACAGCAACTGAGTATTCGCTCATCGCCCCAATACTTGGTTCTGTTACTCAATGTTTGTGCTCATCATATGCCCTTGATATGATCAAAAGTTTGGAACGAAATTTCGTTCAAAAACTTGATGAAGTCCAAATGCTGTTTCTACATGCTATGCCGTTCTACTTAAAATGGTATTGGGATTATTGTGATCCTGAAAATTTTGTTAAAATTTTACGAATATTATTAAATGAATTTACGGCATGGTTTACAAGCTGTGAGCCGGATTCCTATCTGGAACGTTCCTCTCAAATCGATGATATGATTCGTCATCTAAATTATCTTCTTGTTCGCCCAACCGAATTTGATAGTATAAACATTTTTAGTGAAGAATTTTATGATAACTACTGTAAATTAGTTTTACATTGGTCAGCAATTTTGTCATCAATTTTGGCATGCTCTTCTTGTACAATAAATGTCAAATCAGCAGCACGAACCAGTGTTCAAATTTTGTATAATTTAACATTACATTCAAATGTACTCAATTTTATGAAGACAATACCGAGTTTGATTTTGATGCTGTTGAAAGTAACTGATCTTGATCATGATGAAATGCAATTGAATGCATATCGTTGTTTGGGCAAAATTATGATCGAAGCAGATATTAAAACTATGACAAAACCGAGCAAAATTGCAGCCGTACACATTGAATTTCTTAAAGATACTATCGATGATTCGAAACCATCAGAACGATTTTATAGTCTATTGGAAAGTTTGAAAAGTAAGCTTTTATCTGTCGTATTTTTTTTTATGATTAAATTGAGTATAGATTGAAACTTGCGAACTTTTTCTAGATTTTGTTCAACATGATCAAGTTAAAATTGAACTGATAAGACAAGGAATACTTCCTCTGCTAATAACATGTGTCTTGAAAAATACATTTGATCCGATCAAAGTACACTTGATAGCTCTTGAAGTTCTTCTTGCTCTCGCGTTTCATAATCAGGCTTGTTCTTTTCTAAAACAAAATGAAAATTTCATGAATCACATTCGAATCTTTTCAAACAAGACGGATTCGAATCAATTACGTTTACAACGAGTTGCTGAAGGACTTCTTTGGAAATTAGAACAAGAAGATGAAGCTGTTGCTAAACCAACTATTTTGACTTGGTACAAATACGATATTATGATAAGTTATTCCCATAAAGATAAACAATTATGTCTTCAAATCCATCAACAATTAATCAACGATGGGTTTCGTGTCTGGCTTGACAATGATTGTTTGCGTGGATCTACAATGGTGGGCATAGCAAATGCTATCGAAAATTCTCTATATGTATTGATATGCATGTCAAACACATACAAACAGAGTGTTTATTGTCAATCAGAAGCTCATTATGCATTCGAACGAGGTTGCCGTCTTATTCCAATCATCGTCGAATCAAATTATAAACCTGACGGATGGCTAGGTATCATTATTAGTGGCAAGATCTATGTCGATTTTATTGCAAATGAATTTAACGTGGCTTATGAAAAATTGAAGAATGAGATTAGTGAACAACGATATCAAATTCCGATTCAATCGTCGACAAAATCACAAAAAAAATACGAGACCAATACAACTTCCATAAGTTTAGAAAATGCTGTATCGGTTTTCGAATCGACAATGTGAGTTTCATATAGTCATTTTGCAAGTCATAATTACGAAGCTAACTGATTGAACAGAACTTTGTATTCGATAGTCAGAACAGAATGCTCGTTTGATTAACCGTTGCAAAGAATCATAGAGTCTAGTATGATATCGGTTTTGTTTTTTAGATTTGTAACATTTTTTTGATTTCTTCAATGTAAACTTAGGGTACTTCTCCCATTGTCTTCGAAATCGCCTACCAGTTTCGACCTCAAATTTTTCAAACATGAATAGGTTTAATGAGATTCACTAATTAAGAAATTATCATTTGTTTTGATATTTGCTTGTCTGAAATACACGTGATAATTATCATTGAGTTATGTTCTCATATCCTTATCTTAGGCTAGCCGGTATTCACATACATCAAAATGTTCTAAAGAAGAATTCTATCGATTGAAAGTTTCAGATCGATATTCAAGATTTGGTTTTCAGTCTTGTGATAGAGATTGATCACTCACATGAGTTAACGGAATAAGCTGAGTTTCAATCAAAATATGTTTAGAAATCTTGAGCCATCTTCTCGTAAACGTAATCAAGTCTTTGAAAGATTCAGAAACTATTTCTTCACAAATCAATAAAGTCAGTGGAAAAGTTCTTCTCATTTTCATGATTCTAGTGAGCAACATGTATCAAATAATTTTTTCGATATTGCCACTTAAGTATGTAATCTTATACAGGCATAAATCACTTTGTGAAAGCTGCAAGAACATTCGAAAAATTAAATAATATGATTGTGGTTATAGTTTTATTAATAGCGAACACTTCGTCTTTTTCTTTTTGAGCCTGTTCAAGAAATTCATTCGATTTTTTATTCTATATTTTCCTGTGGGCTAACTGGTACATTTTTTTTCAGCAGTATGAACTGTTTAACTAATTGAGCGATGTTATATATTTTTACCACGCACATGTAACAGAATCTTTACGATAGAAAAATATGAAATCAACATATGATCACCATTCTTGATCTTCTTCATGACAACATAAGTACTGCATACTTAGAGTTCTGCTATCATCCTATGCAAATCAGTACCTCCATGTTGTACTTCATTAGTGAACTAGAACAGAGTGAAAATATAAATTATTTCGTTTTGAAACTAAAATCTTGATGAAATGACTCATGTTTTGATCATAATTGCCTTGTTAAAGTCAATCTCATTAGCGACTATCTATAATATATTACCTTATTACAGCATTGTAATTTATGCATTCTTATAGTGACTTGCCGGCTTGTATCACTCAATGGACTGAAGATCATGTTAAGTCATTTTTTCGTCGTATCGGACTTGGTGATACAATTCTTCCTCTTTGCAAACGCGTTAATGGCCCTCGTCTTCTGCAACTCTATGAAATATGCCTGATAAATCGTGAATCGATGTATCAATCATTGAAACTCGAACTGAACGAAAAATGTCACACATTACTGCCGATCGCTGACTATCTCACTTTTCTTGACGAGATCAAAGTATATGTTCCATCAACTTCGACAAATGTAAAAACTGTACAATCTTCTTTTTTTTCATTTACAATGTGCAATTTTATGTAGCAATATCCGACTACTTGGTACCTGAAAATATATGCTAACACTAGCAAATGTGTTTTGATTTTCATCTAAATTATGCGACGGTGGATAAGTAGATGTGTTTGTAAAGATGGATGAATGGAACTGAGCTTCTTTTCTCTAACCATATACTAACAATGAACCAGCCATTCAAGTACTCCATATACAAATGTATAGATCTTTGCGTGAAAAAAAAATAAGAGAAAACTTTTGCATCAGGCAAGGTGAAACTCATTCTGTCAGATTCTAGGATGTGGGCATGAGTATTCTTTCCATCTACGTGCACACTCATCTAGTGCTTGAATTTCGATTTATCTTCGAGCATGATAAGCTACGCTCGAGACAGTACGTATATAAAATAACTTACAGAATGAATATAAAAATTGTAAACTAAATGATCTACTTGTTATTCATAGCATGATTGTCTTCTTCTATCGAAATAAAACAAATTTAGTATTATTATTTTTATCTATTGAAGTATACTATTTGAAAAGAGTTTGATTTTACAATAATCCATAATTAGTATTGTTCTCTTTGTTTGATTCATATAGAAGCTGTTATGCAGTCAGTGATTTATGTATTAAATATAAATTAGAATACGTTTGAACAATGATATTGTTTAACTTTATTAAATATTTTGTTTTTTATTTGTTCTAATCAAACTATCAAGTTGTTTAATTAAAAACTATAAATAAAACTTTTTTAATCCTTTTTTGTATATTGATCACAATCGATATTATTTTTAACATGAAATCTAAAATACAGCCTAGAGGAAAATGCGCATAAAACATGACAAGTCATCGATATAATTGGATAAAAAGATATCTGTAGAATATTATAGATGTTGTTTTTTCATTTCAATTATCTAAGACTCCTATCATCTGACTTAAATCATTGGTTAGTAGAATCTACTCTTAAGTTCTGATAAAATAACTTGTCTTCTAAATGATAACGAAAATAGTAAAAATGAATATTCTATTCTGATTAAAATATTATTGCAACATTTGTATGTATATTACTATTAGCAATATATACATACATCAAATCACATCTTTTTGATAACAAAAACCGTGCATCACTATTACATAATCGAAATAGTAAGATTGCTATAGTTGGAAGTGGAATTGGTGGTGTTGGTGCTACATATGCATTGCTTTGCAGTGGATATACGAATGTGACGATATATGAAGCACGTGATAAACTCGGTGGTAATGCTAAAACACATGTTTGACAAACTGATAATAAGAGTATTACAACTGGATTTTCTATATTAGCATGGCCAAAAATGTTTCGTAATTATATTCATTTATTAAATGAATTAAATATTAAAACAACTATCGTTGAATTACCATTTCTTATTGATAATAAAGAAGAAAATATTAGATTGTCAACAAAGTTTTTGCGTTTTTTTTTCAAAAATTTTATTTTTATTTTTCAACTCCAACAGTACAACTAGCTTTCAATTATATATGCACCACTACTATCTACAACTTGTCGCCAACGCTCTGGCAGGGATAGCATCCCGTGTTCGTAGAAGTCCTGGGACTTTTGATCGAAGAAGTTGACGAGTTCCATTTCGACGTCGTTCTCTTCGTCGAACTGTTTCTCACGCATATGGTTAGAAAGAGAACGAAACAAATGGGACTCCGTTGGAGCCAGGTCAGGAGAATAAGGTGAATGAGGAATGGTAATCCATTCGAGCTTCAATAATTTTTCGCGCGCCGACTTTTCAACATGGAGTCTCACGTTATCACGCAAATAGTAAATTCGATCCTGCTTTTCCTTGAGTTTTTCGGCAACCCGGTTCAATTGCTGACAGTAGAGATCACCAGTCATAGTGCAACCATTTGAAAAAATTTCCAGTGAATAATTCCATTGACTCACTACCAAACACGCAGCAACACCTTCTTGAGATGCGGATCAGTCTTAGGCATTGTTACGCCTATTTGACCAGCACTCAGCCACTGGCGTCTGTGCATGTAGTTAATGTACAACACCCACTTCTCATTGCCAGTGATAAGATTACAGAGCCATTGGTAGTTGCGGTGAGATATCATTAAATCCATACAAGCATCAACCCTGTGTTGAAGCTGATGTGGTGATAACTCGTGGGGTATCCAAACTTCATATCTCCATGTCTTACCTAATTCGTTCAGATGCTTTTCCACCGCAGTATAAGAGCAGCTTCGGTGCTCTGCTAAACACCGTAATGTCAATCGAGGATCTTCTTCGATAAGCTGCCTTAAGAGATCCACATTCAGTTCCAGTGATGTACCAGAGCGAGGTGGGGCGGGTGTGAGTGTGGGTATGGTTATAGCTGAAGGTCAACAACACATCTACACCCACGGTAAAACGGGAAATCGGCAAACGAAATTTCGAGATCGGAAATCGGACAAAATTGTCGAAGTTCCAGTACTGTCTAAAGTCT